TGAGCTCTGTAATATTTATTGAGAACTAAAAATATACTTTACTCTTAAATTTAAGTATAATCTCATGCGAATTTTTAAGTTTTTCATCATTATCCACTCCTAGTAACTCAATGGCTGGGTTTTTTTTTCCAGGTTTGCAAGTAAATTTCCATGTTTTATGAAAACTAAAAGAAAAGAAACTAATAACTTGATTTAATTAAAATGATCTTAGTTGGAAAGAAATTTTAAAAATCAAAACAAACTAGATCAATTAGAAATAGTTGATTTGAATTTTCTTTTGGAAAACTAAAAAACAAAACCCTATAACTTTCTTCATAATCATTTATCCCTTCCTCAAAATTTTGAATCATTTATTCCCCGATTGAAAGTTTTTTTATCATTTTCTCCCCAAAGTGAGGGGTAAGTGATAAAAAAATTTAAGTCAGGGGATAAGTGATAAAAGAAATCTAAATAAAAATGTAAATGATTCAAAAATTTTGTGAAGGGGATAAATGATAATTAAGAAAACTCGTAGGGAAGTTTTTGAAGTTTTCCATTTTCCTTTTTCCTAATAAACCTGATCAAAATTAACATGTGAAACAGCCTTGTCTCTTGGCATTCATAAATTCTATCAGGCTACTTAATACATGTTTAAGTGAATTTTTTAAATTCATTTTTTTTTATAAATTCTTAACAAGTTTTAAAAAAAATGATTATTTCCAAAAAAAAAAATGTTTTCCTAAACATTTACGTTAGAATAATTGTATAAGCTGCTTATTTCCCTCGCCTTTCTTATATGATTGTATGTTCGTGCTCAAAAAAAGTCTAACTAAATAATTTCTCACAAGTTTTCTTAAACTTTACATTTTTATGAAGATTTAAATAAGAGTTTAGTCTTTATATTTTCTATCTATTTAGATATTAATTTCTATAATTATATTTTTGGAATATCAATTCTTATATTTTTGCTTATTTGGATTTTGATCCCTTCGAAACTAAGAGTTTAATAAATAAAAACTATAGGCACTAATTATTTATATAAATAAGAATTAATATCTTATTAAGTAAAAATTACAAGGATTAAAATTTAGCTTAGTAAAAGATAAAGAGTCGATATTTCGTAAGTAGAAATCAATACACAAATGAATAAAAAAATAAGGACTAATATAAAAAAAGAGAAAAATGTGTATCATTTTAAAGGACACAAAGTTATGTCATTTTAAGTGAGAGAAAGAGATAAATTATGGGAGGAAGTGGGGGAAAAAGTTTTAAAAATATGGGTCTCATTTCTTTGTGAGAGTAAAATGAGGTAAGGTGCGTCGTTTAAAATGACAAACCTTTTTCCCATAAAAAAATAAACTATAAAAAATGAATTTCAAATTAATTAAAACTATAGGAATAGGACTACAATTTTGTTTAAACAATTTATTTGTTAAAATTTTATTTTTGATAAGGCCACTTGAAGTTTTTTCAAATCTTTAAATGTAAGATTATTCCTGTTCGAGTGTTTGTTTTATGAGTTTTATTAATCTCATGTTAAAGGATGTAAGTTATCTCATGTCATAGTGATAAACTTGTGGGCTCCACCACCTGAAAAATAAAAAGAAAAGAAAAGAAAGAGGTGACACAGTTATCGAAGGGTGTGTAGGAGATAAATTTATCACATATAGCATAAGAGTAATTTTTCCCTTCTTTTATCTTAATCACAACCTATTTTATTATATTATTTTTCTTTATATATAAGTGCATGTTTCTCTCATCTTATTTTAAAAAGTGTTATATGGCTAACTTTGCTATACACCAACATTAAAAGAAAAGTGAATTTTTTTTATGATAATCTTTTCAAATCAATAGATTTTTATAGCTTTATGGAATTTTCTCATACTCTTGAAACGTGATACTAATATTATCCTCAGGGGCGTTTGGTTCAGGTTTTTCGTTTGATTCTCCATCCATCTTGAATTGGCATTTCATGATTGCTTTGTTTGGTAGAAAGAATAAAAAAATTTAGCCATGCTTCTCTTTTCCTGAGCCTTTGACAAGCATATACAAAAAGGAAAGCAAATCATTGTTGAACTTTACCACTTCGAATGTGGTATTCGTAAAAAACTAGCTAAATCGCAAAAAGGTGAACGAAGAGCTTACCATATTACCCTCTTCTAAGCACACTTGTCTATATCTCTGAAATACCATATTAAGGGTTATTTTCAATATTTCAACACATTTATCCATCATTATTTCACCTTCAACCAAACAAAGACTCATAAAATTTAACCCACTTTTTTTGGTAAAATTTTAGCCAACTAAATAACTTTTTTTTAACTTTCCTACCATATTACTGGTAATTGCATTTACTTGATAAAAAAATATTTCCTTTACCAAACGTCCCATCATTTCCACTTAGAGTAATTATTTTTGATAGATCAATCAAGTAAAAAATATAACTATATAAGGGGCGTGGTGGCATCGCTGCAATGTAATGCATCAGACATAAGAAAATATATATATATATATATATATATATATATATATATATATATTATTTTATACTAATCCTAATTACTTCTTTAATGCAAGTAGTTTTTTTTTGATATTTCCACAAGCTTTGCTCCTTTGAATCGGTTATGAGACCCGAGTGCATGGCAGGTCAAGAAAATATTTTTGATACTAAGGATTAGAGGGGTCAATGAGTCGGCCGGCCTAACAGGGACCTACAACTCAGCCTATATCTGGTCAGACTTGACTTATTACATATAGTCAAATAGAACAATTTAAGGCTTCAAAAAAAACCTATTTAGAAAGTAGGCCATAGGCTTTCTTTTACATGTCGAGTTTATAAGCCTACAAGCCGGCCTATATCATATTATTTATTTTAAATAAAATAAATAAATTATTATTTTAATAATTTTGAATAATAAATAAAGTAATATTATTTTAGTTTTTTTTTTTAATTATTGAATACCTAATTGACATAAATAGACTAACAGATCTAAGTCAAGATTTTTTATTTTTAAATATAAATCATGTCAGATTTATAATTTGGGTCTATATAGGACTAACAGACCAGATCTAACCTCTTTAAGTAAAACCTAATTCAGCCTATTTACTCCCCTCCTAAGGATATATTCAACATTCAATACATATTTTATTAAAGGAAAAAATATTATACTTTTGCTACAGAATTGTTTTTTCTGTCACACTCACCTAAAAAAGTGAGTCTCATTATAAAGAAAAGAAGTAAAAAAAATTTAATTTGATCCATTAAGTATGGTAGAAAAGAATTTTTTATAACAAAAGTAAAATATTAAATCTTTATTAAATATGAAAAAATAATATATTTATATAATATTTATGTTTATAATTATTTTCTTTCATATTTTTTTATTTTATCTTTTTTTTTGGTAAAGAAACATCTACTCTCGTTGCAACAAAAATCGACTCCAGAACTAGAGAAAAATCTATTATACTACCGTAGCACCATTTGTTTGGTGCTACCGGCCAATAGAAATTCATAAATGATTGTGACATTAGTACATGTAAGAGAGAGAAATATTTTTTTTTATCCAAATGTCATTTGCTCAATGAAATATTACAGTTATATAGAAGATGTTCACCCAAGACATAGATATTGTGTGAAACTCTACTTCCACTGTCTAACTGACAAGTGCAAAACAAAAAGGAAATCAACAAGTTGTAAAATATCCGAATCCCAAAGAAACCCTAATTAAAGCCCTATCATTTAGACTTGTACTTTTCAAGTTAACACCTAACATGCTGACATGCACATCTTTGCGTTGTTTGGACTGGCTTGTATTACAGCCGAAAGCACCATTTACCAAACAAGCACATACCCCAAACTGCATCCACTCAAAGCAGATTCTTTTTTACTTTCCAAGGTACCCCACTTCCACGACCTTTACTCGTGCATCTATTTTTTAAGGTCTGTATTAAACCCATTAAATATTGTATTGGTTGTTAATCATTTTTAATAAAATTTTAAATATTTGATATTAAATACTTAATAACTCACTTGGATTGGATTCCATAATTACGAAGGTGTCATATTCATCTTAAATTTGAGATTTTTTTTTTCTTTCAAAAATGTTAAATTTTGAGAGCAAAACTCAATGGTTCTATGACACAAATGAAATTCATAATTTTTTATTTTTAACACAAAATACACTTTGAGATATTAATAAATATCATATATGAAGTTAAATACATAAAAGATAATCATATTAAGTGATAGCTAACTTTTAGCTTAAAAGATATTATGCATTTCAATCATATCAAAATTATTATTTTCGGAGATAATTTCTCGCAAAGGTGACCAAATTTGAATGATTAGATTTTCAAACCTAACTTTATAAAAAAAAGAAGAAGATGAATTTTAAATTAAAGTGACTATATTTATTACGATTTTAGACTTACCATTCTTAAAACGTATTTGATTATTGTTAGATTAGATTAATTTAAGGCTTTAATGTTTTTAAATTAAATATAGTTAATTTATTTATATTTACTCTCAAAACAACTCATTTTGAGTTGAAAGATTAAAAAATTATAAAGAAAAAAATTATTATAATCATGAAATAAAATTACAATTACAAAAATATATTGATTTTTGTTCTAAAATAATGTCGTTTTAGGCTCAACATAGATACCTTATTTATATTGGTAGCAGGAAAAACTAACCTTTAATTTAAATCAATGTCAGCTATGTTTTTTTTTTCAATTGATTTCAAATTCATCCAATAATCTTACCCCTTTATATTTGAGCGAGGATATTTTAACTATCAAATTTTTTTTCTACTAACTTACTACCTATCATATCACTATTGGATGGATCAAAGAGAGAATGTTAAAAAGTTTTTGAAGAAAGAGAAAATGTTAATCTAATGATGATTAGATAAGTACTAAATTTGTAGTAGAAAATTTTAGTAGTGAAAATATTCCTCGTCTTTATATTTGTCTTTAATTTTTTAAAGATAATATTATCACTATAACTTGATTCAAAATAAATGAGTCTCACACTGCGGTGAAAGGGCAAATAGTGCGTGTGTTCCCTACTCATTGCAGTGAATAGTGATGGCCGCAGAGAGCGTAGTTGAGTTCCCAGATTTTCCCGTGAAGAGGCAAAGGGAAAACGAAGAAGAAAATGGGGTCTCAGAGACTGTTTCTACGGTCTCAAAGGACCTTCAGTCTCATGGTATATCAACTGTTATTCCTGGCTGGTTCTCTGAAATTAGCCCAATGTGGCCTGGTTAGTTTCCTCTCGTTACCCTTCTCCTCTTCCTTCCAAAAATCCATTCTTTTCCTTTTCTTTGTTCCCTCACAACCCCCAATTTTTAAACTTGCTGTTTCTGTGATCGTACAAAACCAAACCCTTTTTTGTTCCTCTTTGAAGAAACATAGATTTAATTATTTATTTGGTATAATATCAATTGGCCAGTTCTCTTTTTATTTCTTGGGTATTGTCTTTTAGGCGCTTTACTTTATTGTTTACTATATGCCATCACTGGAATTATCAAATCTCTGTTAATTAGACTGGTTTTTCGTAGTTTGATATATACCAATGGTTTGTAGATGGCAGATATGTACTTCTCAAATTTATCTTGAACCCACTTCTTGAACAACTTAACGATCATGTGTTATTTTTGTGTTTACTTACATAAGGAATTTGATGAAATAGCGCCAGTTAGAGCCAGAGGCTTTCTATTAAATGAGGCATGGAATAGAACCACTACAAATATGTTCCATGATTTTCCTATTCATTGCAGATTTTATTCAGATGCATTAAACACAATTATTGTCTTAGATGATTTAACCTGCCTAGTTCTTTCGCTACGTCACTGTTTTTTTTAATTATTTTTCTAATTTAATGAGAAGTGAGACTTTATATTTAAATCAATGAGAGACAATTTTTTTGTTGCACCTATTTTTTTTTCCCTGAAAATGTATGTAACAAAGGGAGAATTTTTTTTTTTTCCGAGTCTCTTATGTTCTATGGTCTTGGATGTCGCCCTTAGGACCATTACCTTTTGTTTGGTTGTCCAGTTATACATAGTATTGGTTGAAGATGCATCTGTTTTCAGTGACAGAAGTAATTCTTCAAATTGTTGTTGTCATATATGTCATTAAGTTTCAGAAAACCAAAGCTATATTAATATCCTTTGAAACATTTGCACATTGTAACTTAATAAACTCAGAACGCTTGTACTTGTCATTTTTAATGATATTCATGAGTTGGAATCTGGCTGTAATTTGCAGGGGAGGCACATTCTTTGAAGGTGGAAAAGATTTTGTTTCAGGGAAAGTCTGAATACCAGAATGTCATGGTCTTCCAGGTAAATTTAGCTTCAATTAAATTTAAAGTATTATTATTCCACCCTCCCCCCCGGTCTCTCTCTTCTTCATGTGCTAGTTCTATTTACAATGTATGCTTTGATTTCTTTCTGCAGTCATCAACTTATGGCAAGGTTCTTGTTTTGGATGGAGTCATTCAGCTCACTGAAAGGGATGAGTGTGCCTACCAAGAGATGATCACTCATCTTCCACTTTGCTCTATTCCAAATCCCAAAAAGGTCTCTTAATACTTCGAATCCCTCCAGGAATTTTGTATAGGTCTAGTTTACCTGTTTTGTCACCGAATTTTTTGTGTAGTTTGACAAAATATATCACTATAATTGCAAGGCAGTGTATAGTTTTTAATCATTGTATGCAGAGAAGAATTTGAGAAAAAGATGTCTATATTGATTACTCAGAATGTTGATGTGTCCTTCAATATGCTGACTTCTGCTGCACCAGTGGTTTATATTGAACATAGCAACATAAGTTTATTTTGTGTTTATGTTATTTTGAACTTTTATGAGAAGAGTGCAGAATGGTAAATGTTGATGAGAGTAGGAAGGATCAAACCCATGGAACTAGGAAAAAACATCTGAGATATGACTTATTTGAACGACTGTTGAGAATGAAATGTTGGATGATTACAAGGAAAATTTATAGGAATTTTAACCTGATTTCCCAGTGTAGCTTTCTAAGTGTATTGAGTTAATTGTTCTATTCCTCACTGCAATTTTCTGTTAGGTTTTGGTTATTGGTGGAGGAGATGGTGGAGTCCTGCGCGAAGTATCACGCCATTCTTCAGTAGAAAAGATAGACATCTGTGAAATAGACAATATGGTTGTTGATGTGAGTAAAGGCACTAAGACTCTGTTCTTTCCTTTCTCTAATCAAAGCTAAATAATCTTACTGTCAACTATCTTAGTTGCATATAGTTATTTTCTTTCTCTCCCTCCACTTTTTTCTAAGTTGAGTGGGTTTCTCTACTTAATGAAATTGGTTATTCCCATGCTGGATTTTGTTTTTTCCAGTTGGCCTGGAAAATATAACCTTTTTTGTTCTCATAGACCTCTAGTTTAGCAATATATGCTCAATATAAATATTGAAGCCTTCATTCTTTGCAGGTCTCCAAACAATTTTTCCCTGATATAGCAGTAGGTTTTACTGACCCACGTGTGTGGCTTCATATTGGTGATGGTATGATCAGCTATACTGTGTGTTTTGATGTTTCTTAACTACTTTAATGTTTCAGAATAACTTTTCTCATGATGGCTTGTTTCTCAATGATCTAGGAGTTGCATTTTTGAAGGCAGTTCCAGAAGGAACTTATGATGCAGTTATAGTGGATTCATCTGACCCTATTGGTAGGATATATCTGCAATGTCTTACAAATTTTTCTGATCTTCTACAGTTAATATAAAATTGTTTTTTTAAAAGTGAGGTTACATTTGATGCGTTAAGGTCCTGCTCAAGAGCTTTTTGAAAAGCCCTTTTTTGAGTCAGTTGCAAAGGCTCTCCGTCCAGGAGGAGTTATGTGTACTCAAGCAGAAAGTATATGGCTTCATATGCATATTATAGAGGACATTGTGGCGAATTGTCGCCAGATATTCAAAGGTTCTGTGAACTATGCTTGGACCACTGTTCCTACATACCCAAGGTATGTTCTTTCAAAATTTCTTTTCTATTTTCCCATTTTCAGTCTGCAAAACATACCCCTATCTATTGATTACATGTTGTGCCTATATTTATCCTTCCAGAAAATGGTTATTTATATATATATATATATATATATATATATATATATATATATTTTGGTAATAAGGGGGGCAAAGCCCCAAACACAGAAACAATTACAAACAGAGCTGTTGCATGTCACCTACAACATGCTCCAGCGATAAATTAGAACTGAAAATATTCCAACAAGAGGATAAACTATCAGGGGGAGATGACAGCAAAATCAACTCCTCCGATTGCAGGTTTAGACCAAGTTTGGCTAAGCCATCAGCACAAACATTGAGATCCCTTGAGATGAAATCCGATTGGAGTTTACCAAAGGATTGAGCAATGCTTCTAACATGATTAGTGAGAGCAGAGTAACCACAGGGAGATTGATTGTCCTCTAAACACCTTAAAGCTTCCTTGGAATCGCATCCTATCCAGAGCTCAGAGCAATTTAGTTTGGAAGCTAGCTTTAAGCCTTGTAATAATCCCCACATTTCTGCTTCTAAGGCTGTGCACGGACCAATGTTGAACATGAAGCTATCCACCCAGATTCCTTCAGAGGTGCAAATGAAGCTGCCGCATGCCCCTTTTCTGCAGGAAGGGCTGAAAGCACCATCAACAAACTTGACAGATCAGTGTTAATGCCAAAAGGTGGGGATCCACTACATCTTTTCATATCAGTAAGATACAGAAGAATATGAAGATTAGGATCCTGAGGAGTCACGAAATTCTCCTCATGTAAGGATGAGGTCCTCCATTTCCAAATAAACTAATGGGCTATGACTAGTGGGCCCAAGTTCAGTAATGCAAAATTAGTTAGTGAATTAGCTAGTTTGTTAGGGAAACTATTCTAGAATATTCTAGTAAGTAGGATAAAAGGTGAGTGAGTGTGTGTAGTGAGGGACGCATGTATTCAATGCTGTTTAGAGGGGAAATTGAGAGACCTCTAGGGAACTCTTGAGCCTAGGTATTTGGTTTGAGGGGGAGTTGAGGTTTTCTTGGGATTTATTTTCTGCATTTTATATTGTATTAGTGTATGTAAAAAGAGGCTATGCCTTCATTGTTAATGAATTCAGCCGTGTATTTCTTTGGGTTCCATCAATTTGGTATCAGAGCATTTCCGATCTAGGGAGTGCTTCTGGTCCAGATCTAAAAAAAAAAAAAAAGCAGAATCACGAAAGTGGAAGAAAGCATGGATCGTATGAGGGAAGAAAGATTGGGAGGGGTGGAAGACGCTATCCGTCAATTGCAATGAACAATTTAGAAACTCAAGGATGTAATAGATCAGCGTTACAACATTCGAACTATGAATGGAGTGCACGACGAAGGAAGAACAGATGGTGAAGAAGTTGAAGAAAAAGAGAAAGAAATCGAAGGTGCAGAAATCTTCGAAGAAGAAGAAGAAGAAGAAGGAGAAGAAACAGAAAAGAAAGAACAAAAATGCAGATGCAGATCTAAGCACAATAGAAGAAGAAGAAGAAGCATATCGCAACTCAGAGGAAGGTGGCAGCATAGTAGAAGAAACCAGGGAAGAAGAAGCAGATCGAAGCACGAAAGAAGATGATAAAGAGGAACGTCAAGAGGATGAAGAAGATCAGGTGCCGAAGACGAAGACGAAGATGGATTTTGATAAAGAAGGAGTGGGTATAGTTGCAGAAAACAGGGAACACCTTGAGCTGTTGGCGCCGCTTAGACACACGACGGAGTAGATGATGCTAGCTGTTGTTCTCAGTGGTAGGAAGGAAGAAATTGGAGATGAGGTCTGTCTGCAAGCGTTGACAGATTTGGATCGCAGGATGCTGATGGCGCAACGAATCGAGGAGAAGGACGCAGTGTCGGGCAAGATGACCCAAACGCTGGATGGAGGAAGTGGATCTCATAATTCTGGGCCTGGACTGAACCATCAAACACGGGCTGCACCTTTGGCTCGTACTAATTTCAAAGGAGGGAAACTACATGGGGGTACTGAAACTAAAATGCGATTTGGGCTTAATGATATTACACATAGGTCCAATTCAGCAAGGAATAACAGGGGAGTTGGGCCTCACTTATGGCCCAATGAACTAAACCCTTCCAATTCAATAAAAAAAAAACAAAGGAGTTGGGCCTCTGCGGTCAACCAAACCAAACCCTACACAAAAGCAGGTTTTGAATAAAGGAGGTGAGGGGCAGGTGTCAACACATGGCACCTTGGTAGGTAACGTTGCAAACGGTGATGAGCATAGCGCGAGCTGCAGGCGGCCGTCGTCGGAGGAGATGGTGGATCGCCGGAAACAGAATCTCGGTTGTAGGTGCGATGCACATTCTTCCATGAACCTATTATGCTGGAATTCACATTTGTCGTTGACGTTACTAGGGATGAGAAGCGAAGTCGAAGATTTAAAAAAAAAAAGATCTTTCACGCATCGGTGGGGAGGACGACATGGCCATCTGGTTGAGCGTGCTCACCATCATAGGAGTAACATGTCAAATGCGAGGCGTGAACATTTCAAATCTTGCTGCAATGGAGCATACTCTTATGCTTGCAAATACATTGGCCCAAAATGGTGTCCTTAAATATCTGAATTCAAAGTTTCTCCAGTTGTATCAAAGATGACCCGTGGTTAGTCGATTATTGATTACAATCAAGTTAAAGAGACTACATTATCTGCATCTAGTTATTGGGCAGCAGAATACCAGCAGCAATATAATAATGAACCTGATCAGTGGGTGAATGAGTTTACAACTAAAGGACAGGAGCATATATTGGTGGATGATCAGTGGGTTAATCAATTCTCAAAGTTTCATGTTAATGAATGGGATCCCGGTGGAAGAGTTTCTCTAACAATGGAATTGAAAATGCCACTGTGTTCAAAATGCTTCACACAGTAGGACCCAGGTGGAAGTTCTTTTATATCACTTATCCTCCTTCCTTCACCTTGAGGACAAGGTGAATTTTAAAGGGAGAGTATTGATGGGCCTTCAATAAAGTAATCAAACCCATTAATTAGGAATTAGTATATATAGAGATGTTTAGGGTGAGGTTTGGGGATGCATGTATTCAATACTGTTTAGAGGGGAAATTGAGAGACCTCTAGGGAACTCTTGAGCCTAGGTATTTGGTTTGAGGGGGAGTTGAGGTTTTCTTGGAATTTATTTTCTGCATTTTATATTGTATTAGTGTATGTAAAAAGAGGTTATGCCTCCATTGTTAATGAATTCAGAATTGTATTTCTTTGGGTTCCATCAATTTGGTATTAGAGCACTTCCGATCTAGGGGTGTTTTTGTTACAGATCTGAAAAAAAAAATTTAATGGAACCCAAAGAAATACAAGACTGAATTCATTAACAATGGAGGCATAGCCTCTTTTTACATACACTAATACAATATAAAATGCAGAAAATAAATCCTAAGAAAACCTCAACTCTCCCTTAAACCAAATACCTAGGCTCAAGAGTTCCCTAGAGGTCTCTCAATTTCCCCTTTAAATAGTATTGAATACATGTATCCCTCACTACACACACTCACTCACCTTTTATCCTACTTACTAGAATATTCTAGAATAGTTTCCCTAACAAACTAGCTAATTCACTAACTAATTTTGCATTACTGAACTTGGGCCCACTAGTCATAGCCCATCAATACTCCCCTTTCAAAATTCACCTTGTCCTCAAGGTGAGGAAGAGGATGTGCAAGAATTTCCTCCCGGGTCCCATTGCTTGTAACACCTAGACCACATTGGAAGTTTCAATTCCATTTTCTTTTCATAAACCTCACCCCTCAACTTCAATGAATGGCTGGCAATGAGACCCACAATACTATGGACACTCAACGAGAAATTCTCGCCATCCTCTCTGTCTTCGCCGTTGTAGAGTTTCCCTTCCCCTTCTAGCTCAAATTCATAGATACCCACAAGCATGACATTGATGTGCTGCATTAGACCCACGTTTAGAGTACCTACGATTTGGGTTGTAGCATGCAATCCAACAACATTAGACCCACTTCGCCAATTTGTTCCTATTGGGCCTGGTTCACTGCATACTTCATTAAGCCCATTACTTGTGTGCTGATTGGAGTTGGTATTGGCCCTATTAGTGGTAAGGGTTGGATGCATGTGGATCCCTTCTCCAATATCTGCTCCATATCCATGATTCTCTAATGAAGACACCTGACCATGCACCATTTTGCTTTCTTCCACCTGTTGATGCACTTCCATGAGACGATTCAGATCAGTCACCATATGTAACCTTCTCTCTGCTCTGACTTCTTCCTTTTGTTGTTGTTCTTCATCTTCTTTTTCTTTTTCCTCTTCTTCAACCTCTATCTTGTCTTCCTTTTGATCCCCTTCCTCTTCTTGTTCTTCTTTCTGAATCTGTTCAAAATACTCTGTTCGACTCTGTTTTCTGGTTTCAGAAACAGAGTCGTCTTCTTCATCTCCTCCTTCTTCTATTTTTTTTCCTTTTGCTTCTACTTGTGCGATTTCTTCTGCATCTTCTTCCTCTGTCGCTTCTGCATCTTCATCTCCTTCTGCAACTTCTTCGTTTTCAGCTTTGGCATCATCTTCTTCCTTCGATTCTGTTGCCGCCTCTTCATTTCCAGCAGCTTCTTCTTCTTGATCTTCTTTTCCTTCTTCTTGATCTTTTTTTTTTCTTTTTCGTTTTTTTGATTTCTTCTTCTGGTCTTTTTATCCTTCCCTATTATGATTGTGCCTTTTTCTCCTTTTTTTCTTCTTTACCTGCTGCTGCCTTTTCTTTCTTTTTTGGTTTTCTTCTTCTTCTATTTTTCGATCTGCCTCCTATTCTGTAATTTCTTTATCTTCTTGCCCTTCTTCTTCTATTTTTGTAAAGCTCTGCGTCTTCAACTTCTCGTATTCTAGCCTCTGTCGCTCCATCTTCTCTATTACCTCATTGAGCTTCATCTTCTCTATTGCCTCACAGAACACCTTCAACAATTTT